GAGAGACATTTTTTTCTAACCCAAGAGAATGAAAAGGGAAAATATAAAAATATGTATAGGTATAATTGTGATCTAATTTATCAGTAAATATAGATATTATTTAATGTGCAGTTGACATAGCTGTCTGGTAACCAACCACCTGTTAGCTTAGTTATAGCATATGGACCTTCCACTTATATGGACCATCTTTAGGAAATGAGTTTCCACTGTTGCAATATGTTACTGTCCCTTTAATGAGCACAACCTCAGGGAGGTAAGTCACCCAGTGTGGACTTCTTGCATATTACAGCCAGGGTAGACTAGGCTGATCCCAGTGTGGACTTCTTGCATATTACAGCCAGGGTAGACTAGGCTAGGGATATCAGGTCATGTGCTGTGACATTTTATTAGCAATAGTACCTCCCCCCCTCCCCCCCTCCCTCTCTCTCTCTCTCTCTCTCTCTCTCTCTCTCTCTCTCTCTCTCTCTCTCTCTCTCTCTCTCTCTCTCTCTCTCTCTCTCTCTCTCTCTCAGATTCTGACTAAGACTCACTTTACAAGAAGCATGTCGACGTGTTTTTTCTCTCACTCCCTACTCCATTATATCGTTCGCTCTGCCCCTCCCCCTACCACCTGTTCCTACTCCCTCCCCTAAACCTATTCCTCCTTCATCTAACTTCCCCACTTCTATCTCCTACCTTCCCCAGTCAAATTCTTTTGCTGTTCTAAATCCAGACATCCCAATCTCTGCTGCAGCCCCAACAACTTTTCCTCTCCCTCCCCGCACTACCCACAGCAGACTAAATGTTCCACCCCCTCTTCCCCTACCACACACTCACCTCCACCTACCTTTGCTTCTACTCCTCAGACACCAGTCTCCTCTCCCCTCCCCCCCATAAGAAAACCTTTGTCTCATAAAACTCCATAACCAACTCCTTTACAGAAACTCTTGAAGATATTCAAAACTATGTACTTGAGTCCCAAACTAACACTGAAATCCCTCATCCACCCTAAAATTCCACAGCTCCCTCTCCCTCCACACACAAAGTGACTGCTGATATCCATCCTCCTCCTACTTCTACATCTCCTGATACAACACCACCTCCCTCCTCTCATTCCTTATCCCACCCCCTAGCTCCTTCCCCTTCAAATTCTCCAACGCGCACTGTAACCGTTATGACTCATAGATCAACTAAAGTATAACTCCTTCATTTCCGTTCTTACAGATCTAACCTTCGTCATGTTCATTCCTCTTATAACCCAACAATATATTTTTCTTACACATCCTCCTATATCAATTCCCAATTACCGTTTTGTCTCTTCCTCACACTCCATTTATACCTCATCTATACTTATCCATCAGAAAACACCTTATGTCATACCTCCCTTTCAAACCACTGTCCCTTGCACAGTTATTCACAGCTCTCTTCGCCGCTGGATCACAGCGATTTCAGTCTACTTCTCCCATTCCCACCCCTTTGACTTTGTTGCCTTGGAAAATCTAATTACCCAGCTCCAACCACCTTTCCTCATAGACTTTAACTGCCACTACACTCTCTGGGGTGATTCTACCACCAACTCCCGAGGCCGATCCCTAGAGCTCTTCTTCTCTCTTTTTAATTCAGATCGCCCCACACACTTTGATACACGCACGCAATCTTTTTCATGCATTGACCTCTCTTTATGTTCCCCTTTTCATTTAGATTTCCATTGGTCAGTTCTAGACCACTTTCCTTGTAGTGACCACTTTCCAGTTCTCATTTTTCCTACTTCATATGTACCACTTCCTAACTCCCCACACTGGTGCTTTGATAGAGCCGACTGGTGTATTTTCATTTAACTTTCTGCTATTCCTACCCTTCCACCATCCTTCTCGTCCATTTCAGATATGTTACAATGTTTCACAACTACAGTCCTAGGAGCTGCCTATACAGCTATTCCTCGGACCTCAAGACCTTATACCTCCAAATGTGTTCCATGGTGGAATTCCAATTGCACTAAAGTGCTTCACTTAAAACGTGCAGCTTGGAACAGTTGCCACTACAAACGAGGCACCCCTAATCAATTGTTAGCCCTTATCTCTCTTAAAAGAGCATCTGCCTGTCTTCGTCATACAATCCATAATAGTAAAATAAATAGCTGGTGAAATTATGTTTCCTCAATTACATCTTCTATATCTGTCTCAACTGTTTGGTGCCAGATCCATAAACTATCAGGCAAACATCCCCCCCATCCAGCCCCCGTCCTCCATATTGGAGATACTCTCATCTCTGACGGTATTCACGACCGTAAGCTCTGACATCTTCCATATTCCTCTCTATCCTTCCTATTAACAATTTTCAAATACATATGGACGTCAGAAAAATTTCCTTCTCATTGGCGAGAAGCTCTTATCCTCCCCTTCCTTGAAACCTAATAAATTAGGTACCTTCCCTTAAGATTATCGCCCTATCACTCTAACTAGCTGCTTGTGGAAACTACTAGAACGAATGGTTAACACAGCTGACCCACTTGCTCATTTCGAGACATATATTACTCCTGCATTTGCACGCCATGAATTCGTATTAGCCATATTCTTTGACTTAGAAAAAGCATATGATACTACATGGCGGTACCATATTCTTCAACAATTGTCCTCCCGAGGCATACGTGGAAACACGGGTGTCTTTATAAAGCCTTTCCTCTCCAAATGCATTTTCCAGGTCAAAATTACCTCTTCCACATCAGTTTGAAGGCGTCTCACAAGGCGGTGTGCTCAGTACCACTTTATTTTTTCTTGCTGTTAATGACATTGTCTCAGTTCTACCACCAGGAGCCAGGTCATCATTATATGTTGATGGTTTAACCATCTACGCCTCTGGCATATCCATACCAAATCTCCACCAATTCCTTCAGTCTGCAATATCATCAGTGTCTTCCTGGGCCACTTATCATGGCTTCTGCTTTTCTACCTCCAAATCTTTCTCCATCTTTTTCTCTCGTGCACATATAAGTCCCCAACCTCCACTCTTCTTATATGGCAATATCGTTCCTCTGGCAAATTCCTAGACGTTTTTTTTTTACTACAAATTGGAGACCATATCTTTTACACTAATGAAAAAGCTCACCACCACTTCCAAATCTTACAAACTCTTCACTCTCGATTAAGGATGCCAAATCTACTCCTCGTTTAGCCCTAGGTGCCTTCCACTCCTCTCCAGTTGAGAGCCTGCACACTGAATCAGGCATGCCATCTCTCTCTCGACGCCGTACTCTTCTCTCTCTCCGATGCTATGCTCGATTCCACCAACTTTCCCTCACTAAACTAACTATCCCATGATCCCTACTTTCTACCTTTGCTTCTTCTCTACGTTTACCTACTCCCTTCTCCATTCGAATGGATACCCTCCTCTCCCATTCCCCTTTTCCCCATCTCCAACCTCTTCCGTTCTCTGTTCATTCTGTCCCTCTTTGGCTTATACCTTTCCTCCTATTTGCTTCTCTGTTTTCCCTGATGCACCAAAATCAAATATTCCCCCCGCTGTCTTTCTCACCCATTTCTCTGACCATGTCTCCACTGATGGCTCCAAATCCACCGTCGGTGCTGGTTTCGCAGTAACCTTCCCAACTTGCACTTTCAAATACCCCCTCCCTCCTGAATCCAGTGTCCTTACTACAGAACTGTACGCACCCCTTTTTTGCCTTAAAAGACTTACACTCACTCCCTTCTTCCTCTCACTATTTTTACTGACTCCTGTAACTCATTAACTTTAATAAAGTCAATACACTCGACCAACCCACTTGTTGGTAAGATTCAGAACTGGTTGTTCTACATGTCCATACACCATAAAACTATCAGATTTTGCTGGATGCCATGTCCACATCACACCAACCGCGCTTCATATAAACGTTGGCAATCTTTCTAGTCAAATCTCCGTACTAATAAATAACATACTGTAAAACTATCAATCTCCTCCTGGTCAGCTCCATTTCATCGGAACAGACGTTGAGAGACGGCTCTCGCCCGCTTACGCATTGGCCACACCTGTCTAACACACTCCTATCTGTTTTTACACTCTGATCCACCTTTATGTTCCCTATGTAATGTCCCTCTTTCAGTTCTACACATTCTATTGTCCTTCCCATGTTTTGATGCAGTCCGTACCTCTGCTTTCCCCCACCTATCCTCCCTTCACCGACCTCCCAACCTATCAGACATCCTTACAGAATCTCACACTTTCTGCTTTAACAAACTGTTTTCCTTCCTTAGACGCATACATATCCTTCACTTGATATAACCCCTTTACCTAACCTGACCTTAACCCATTCACTCGTCAATTCCTTTGCCCAGCTTCAGCAACTAACCACTAAGTCAACCACCCTTCACTATCCTTTATTATACCTTTCTGTAGTGCTACATGACCTTAGATGTCTGGCACATTTATTTTGCTTTTAACATGAACCACTAACCATTGCAATTATCACTGGTAAGGAAAATAATTATTATGATAGCGAAATTGCTGATAATAATACAATATTTGATAATGTCTAACATAGTTACAGTGTGATGATGATAATACTAATAATAAAAACGATAATAATGATAATGATGAGTAAAACAATATCTACAGCAACATAAGATATAACAGAAATAAAATAATAACAAAAAAAAATATGATTATGATAACAATGATATTGACAATAATAATAATGATGATAACAACAACAACAACAACAACGGTAATGACAATGGCAATGACACTGACTGACAGTGACAGTGACAATGACAATAACAATGACGATAATAGTGATAATGGAGATAATGGTGAGGATGATGATGATGACAATACCAATAGTAACAGTAACAGTAATAGTAACAATAACAATAACAAAATCAATGATGACAACAACAACGACAATCATCATTAATGATGATTGTCGTTGTTGTTGCAATGATAATGATAACGAAAACAATAATAATTAAGATAATGTAAATAATGACAATGCAACTGAATCTAGAAATATATATGATGACATAATCATG